TGAAGCAGCTGCAGCTAGCTTGCCGTGCTGTACTCTAACCCAGGGAGGGCCCCATATTTTGTATTTTTTAACTTTTATTTTTTAATAATTGTAAATTCACAGAAAGTTTTGAAAATAGTACAGAGAGGTTTGTGTTCTTTACCCAGTGGTTACACCTTATATAATTATTGTATCACAACTAAGAAACTGATATGGGTGGATAAGTGTATTTAGTTCTGCGTCATTTTATCACATGGCTAGATTTCTGTAACCACCACTATGATGGATTCTCCATCAGAATTGTCCCAGCACTATAAGTTTTCCCTCATGGACTCCTTAAGAGTCATACATACCCCTCTTCACCAAAACCAGCCCTAATTACTGGCCCCCACAAAATGTTTTCCATTTATAGAATTTGTCATTTGGAGAATGGAACCATTCTTCTGTGATCTTCTGTATCCTTGAGATTCATCCCAAATGTGTGTATCAACGTTTCATTCCTTGTTTATTACAGAGTAGTATTCCATGGTGTGGAGATAACACAGTTCACCTAAACATTCATCTAGTGAGAGACATACTGGTTTCCAGTTTTGGGCTGTCACAAAACTGCTATGACAAAGATTGTGTATAGGTTCTTTTTTTCCTTTTGTATTTTTTTTTAAGATTTATTTATTTGTGCATACAGAACTGGGGTACAGGCCAGAGACTCAGGGGCAGCGAGAGGCTTCACCAGAGACAGAGTGGGGAACAGAACAGGCAGATCGACGAAGTACACTGCTCAGGGGAGCAGCGGGCGGGTCAGGAGCGGTCTGCCACGCCATGTGGTCACCTCCGGGGCAGGCGGGAATCGAACTCATGCGGAAGCGGCTTTAGATTCTCAGCGCTGTGCTTTAACCCGCTGCGCCACCAGGGAGGGCCTATAGGTTCTTGTGTAGATATAAGTTTTCCTTTTTCTAGGACAAATGCCTAGGAACATGATTGCTGGTTTGTATGGTAAAACCCAGAGCCAGTTCCTTAAAAACTACCAGACTATTTTCCATTTCACATTCTTATCAGCAACATATGAGAGATCTAGTTTCTCTATATCTTCACCAGCATTTGGTATTACTGCTAATTTTGAGTTTAGATCATCTAGTAGTAATATTTCATGTTTTTTTTTTAAGATTTGTTTTTTTATGCATTCAAAAGCTGGGGCGCAGGCCAAAGGTGTGGGGAGGTGGTGGTGGTAAGAGGATCCACCAGAAACAGAGTGGGGAGCAGAACAGGCAGATCCACTGAAATACATTACTGAGGGGAGCAGTCGGTGAGACAGAAGAGGTCTGCTGCACCATGTGGGTCTCACCTCCCTGGCAGTGGATCAAACTCATGCTGCAGTGGCTGCAGACAGCTTCCTAGAGCTGCTCTTTAACCCCTTGCACCACCAGGAAGGGCCCTCATTATGGTCTTAATTCGAATTTCCCATATGGCTCATGATGTCAGACATTTTTTTATGTGCTACTGGCAATCCGTATGTCTCCTTCAGTGAAATATGTCTTCATTTCTTTTGCCTGTTTTCTAATTGGGTCATTTTTTAAAACACTAAGTGTTGAAAATCCCTTATTTAATCTCAATATAAGTCCTTTGCCAGACATGAGGTTTGCAAATATTTTCTCACAGCCTGTTCTTTCATCCTCTTAACAGAGGCTTTCACAAAGCAAGTGTTTTTAATTTTCATAGTCCAATTTGCAGATTTTTCTTTCATAGATGGCGCTTTTAATCATTTCAATGAACTTTTCATCAATCCATACATCCCAAAGATTTTGTCCTTAAAAAACATTACCACTTCCATACCAGGCTTATTTGACCCTTCCTTATTTTTCTGCATATCACCTGTCACATGAAACTAACGATTTTACTTATTTGTAAATTGCCTGCCTCCCCCTGTTAGAATATACATTTCTCTTAGACAAGGAGCTTTCCTGTTCTGTTCACTGCTGTCTCCCATGCACAAAGTAAGCACTCAATTACATTTTTTTAATGACTAAAAGGATCTTGGCTTCTGAATGCAAGAGGCCTAGACTGAGAGATATTACTAAAGATAGATAAACCTCACAAGCTGTACCCTTTTGAGACACATAGAGGAGACAAGAATCCTGGAGTGGACACAACAGCATTTCCATTATACCATGCTCCTCTTGTCTCTGTTTGCTAAGACCTAAGGGACAGCTAGGAGTTAACAAGTCTGGGGCAAGGTTACAGGCAGAGAGGACAGCGGGCACAAGGGCCAGGAAAGGAGAGAGCATGAAACAAACGGGGTCAGTGGCTGGGTCTGGGCAAAGAGTTGGAACAGGTCATACACTTTATGCTGAAGCCTTAAGGACAGCCTAGCAGAGCGCTGCTGGAACTAGACAGATTCTCCTGGAGAAGGTGGTCCAGCTTAGGCAAAGGGGGGAAAGCTCCATTTTTTGGCACATGCTGAGTTACAGAGCCTCTACACAGTTAAAATGGGACTGCCGGCCATGGGTCTGAGGTCAGGGACAGAGACCCATGAGAGCACACCTAGATGGAAACTAGGCCAGGGCCTGCTTTCATACGGGAGAGAACAGGGTCAGGACCTTGGGACACAGACACAGAGACAGAGGGAACAGTGATGCCCATGTCACCTGCTTTGCTATTTCCTGGGACCTATGAAAGGTAGGTTTCCCCACTCGTTGGGTGTGGAGCCCTGAAATTTCTAGTTTTAATGAGATCTCCAGCTAATTCTGGTATGGTTGAGAACCATGGACCTGAGGATGAAGAAGAGGCAGCCAGCAAGTAGAGAACTAGAGAACTTTCTTTTCCCTAAGAATTCCCCCCCCCCCCCCCGATTTTACTGATTTTTGTTTGTGTAGAAGAACTGAGATATAGGTCAGAAGTATGGGGTGGGGGGAGTAAGAGGATTCACCTGAGACAAAATGGGGAGCAGAACAGGCAGATCTACCTAAACATACTTCTGAGGGGAGCAGCAGGCGAGACAGGGGAAGTCTGCTGTGCCATGTGGGTCAGCTCCCTGGCCGGGAATCAAACTCAAGTGGGCCTTGGTTATAGTGATAGCTCTGAGACTTAACCACTTGGCCATCAGGGAGGCCCTCCCCCAGGAAATTTTGATGCAAGAAAATATAAGTGTGAAAAACACTTGGGAAGGTGATAAGGCAACAGAAAAACTCATGCTGTGTTGATGAGAGGCTTAAAAGTTGATACAATGTAAAGCATCCCTGTTAACCCAACCATAACCCACAATCT